GTTCTCAAAGCAGCACACACTTGTACTTGTTCCCAGTCAGCTTCACAGACTCATGAAATACTACATCTGAAAGGACTGTGGAGGATAGGGATGAACCTGGGCACTGTGAAGCTTGGGAAAACATGGTGTTCCCAGCTGAAGACACCTCCGAGGCCACAGAAATAGAGCCATGGGGCAATAACAAGAAAGACCCTCAGACTATGTTCTGTTTCCCTCCTCAAGGACATTTACAAGAAGAGCAAGACTGATTTTATCTTTAAGGAGACCTCCACTATCTTAAAAACTACTAACCACATTCCTACTATTGGCTCTAATTCTTACTTACAACATCACTAATGTGAAAATATGTTTAATAGGAGTGTATATGTAGAGCCTATATCAGATTGCGAGCTGTCCTGGGGAGGGAGAGGGAGAAAAATTTGAAGCTCAGAAGCTTATGGAAGTGATTGTTGATAATTGAAAATAAATTAATTTTAAAAAAGATTACTAACCACAGAGGAATTCATTTCCCCACAGGAATAAACCTGACTTTTGTCAGCTTCTTGATACTTTCATAACTGCCTCTCCCCTCTTTCCTTCCTGCTGAGCAATGTTGCTTATCAGCTCTGTACCTGGCCCCCTTTTGCTATATTATAAGAACCTCCAAGTTTGTCCATCCAAGTGGGATTCTCTTTGGACACTTCTCTCTCACTAGTAAGTTCTTTTCTTTTTAGCTAGTCCTTTGTTTATCTGTTACTCAGTCTGATACTGAGACCTGGGAAAGACCTTAGCTTAAAAAGGACAAGGTCTCCCACTGCATCCTGGGCCATTACCAGTCAAATGACTTATGTCTTATCACTGGACTGATGACTCTGGAGGAGAGAGTGAGGTTAATGACTTTGCACAGCTCTGCCTCACTGAAATCCAATTCACTTGCAAGTCAAGTCATCACCCTCATGATGATGTCATTGGTCCTCTTTGAGAACGGGCTGCCACCACCATCACCAACTGTCCGATCCACAGACCCTGCTTGATGATTGAGATCTCAGACCTGTTGGGGCCTGAGGTTAAAATTCATGAGGCAGATTCCTTAGAGTTTTCCTTATTCAGTGGGTGGCCAAATATATGCCCCTCATTTATGAGGGCATGTTTTTCATGGAAAAATAGAAAGCATTCTCTATATGACTATAATGGAATACCATTGTACCATAAGAAATGATGAAATAGATGGTTTTAGAGAAATCTGGGAAAGCCTATATGTATTTTTTTAAAAAAAATACACAGGATGATATTGCAATAAAGTTACACTTTAAACATTTTTTTAATGCTTATTGTTCTTAAAATAAGATTCTTTATTGATTTGATTTGGACCTGTGATTTCATTGGCGTGGGGAGCTCCTGTTGAAGAAAGCTCCTCAACCAATGCAGATAGGCCAGTTTATGTGACTCATACTCTTAGAGATTTGACTATGAAATTGAATGACTTGTCCAGTGTCACACAGCCAGAGGCTATACTTGAACAAAGGTCTTCCTGGCCTTGACGTTGGCTCTCCCTTCATGATTATTTTGTTTTATATTTTAAAATTTATTATTATCTATTTGTTTTTCACATTCTTTTAAAATTTTGAATTCCAAATGATCTCCCTTTCTTCTTTCTATCCCCTGAGAAGGCAGTATGCTATTATACAAATGAAATCATGCAAAACATGTTTCCATATTAGCCATATTTTTAAAAGAAACAAGAGAAATAAAGAGAGTGAGAAAATTATACTTCAGTTTGTACTCAGAGTTCAGAGTTCTCTCTCTGGAAGTGAATAGCATTTTTCATCATGATTCCTTTGGAATTGTCTTAGATCATTGTATTGATCAGAGCAGCCAAGTCTTTCACAGTTGATCATCATTACAACATTGCTGTTACTGTGCACAATGACCTCCCAGTTCTTCTCAATTCATTTTGCATCAGTTCACATAGATGTTGCCGTGTTTTTCTGAAACCACTCCCCTCATCATTCTTTTTATTTATTTATTTGTTTTTAGCTTTTTGGTGAGACAATGGGGTTAAGTGACTTGCTCAGGGTCACGTACTAACAAGTGTCAAGTGTCTGAGGCTGGATTTGAACTCAGGTCCTCCTGACTCCAAGGCCAGAGCTCTATCCACTGTGCCACCTACCTGCCCCTCCCCTCGTCTATTAGCACAATAGTAATCCATCACAATCATGTGCCACTACTTGTTCAGCTGTTCCCTAGTTGATGAGCATCCCCTCAATTTCCAATTTTTTCCAACACAAAACAGCTGTTTTAAGTATTTTTGTACACTTATGTCCTATTCCTTTTTTTGTTGATCATATTGGGATACAGACCTAGTAGTGATATTTCTGAGTCAAAGTGTATGCATAGTTTTATAGCCCTTTAGGTATAGTTCCAAATTATTTTTCAGAATGGTTGGACCAGTTCACTTCTCTACCAGCAGTTCATTAGTGTCCCTATCTTTTCCTTCAGCATTTGTCATTTCTGATAGGTGTGAGGTGGTACTTTAGAATTATTCTAATTTGCATTTCTCCAATCAATCGTGATTTAGAGTATTTTTTCATATGACTATAGATAGCTTTGATTTCTTCTTCTGAAAACCACCTGTTTATTTCCTTTGACCAAATGGGGAATGGCGCTTTTCATCAGGAATGCTTGAAAGTCTGCTTTTTCATCAAATATAAATTTCTACCCTCCCCTTGAAGGATTATATTCAGTTTTGCTGGGTAGATTATTCTTGGTTGTAATCCTAGTTCCTTTGCCTTCTGGAATATCCTATTCTAAGTCCTCTGCTCCTTTAACGTGGAAGCTGCTAAATCTTATGTTATAATGACTGTGGCTTCATGATATTTGAATTCTTTCTGTCTGTCTGCTTGAAGTATGTTCTCTTTGACCCGAGAGCTTTGGAATTTGGCTAGATTGTTCTTGGAAGTTTTATTTTGGGATCTCTTTGAAGAGGTGATCGGTGAATTCTTTCAATTTCTATTTTATTCTCTGGATCTAAGACCTCAGAGCAGTTTTCCTTGATAATTTCTAGAAATACAATGTCTAGGCTCTTTCTTTGGTCATGACTTTCAGGTAGTCCATTAAATCTTAAATTATTTCTCCTTGATCTATTATCTAGATCAGTTGTTTTTCCAATGAGATATTTCACATTTTCTTCTATTTTTTCATTCTTTTGACTTTGTTTTATTGTTTCTTGATGTCTCATGGAGTCTTTAACTTCCACTTGCCCAATTCTAATTTTTAAGGAATTATTTTCTTCAGTGAACTTTTGTAACTCTTTTTCCATCTGACCAATTCTTGCTCTTTAAGAAGCTATTTTGGGGCAGCTAGGTGGTGCAGTGGATAGGGCAGCTAGGTGGTGCAGTGGATAGAGCACCGGCCCTAGGGTTAGGAGGTCCTGAGTTCAAATCCCATGTTCGACACATAACACTTACTAGCAAGTCACTTAATCCCAATTGCGGCACCAAAAAAAAAGTTATTTTATTCAGTGAATTTTTCCATTTGGTCTATTCTGCTTTTTAAGGAGTTCTTTTCAGTGGATTTTTGTGCCTCTTTTACCATTTGGCCAATTCTGTTTTTTGAGGTGTTATTTTCTTCTGTATTTTTTTCTTGCCTCTTTTACCAAGCTGTTCATTCTCTTTTCATGATTTTCTTGCATCATTCTCACTTCTTTTCCCAATATTCCTCACACACACACACACACACACACACACACACACACACTCAAGTAAAAACAAAATTCCCTCAGCATTCATGTCCCAAAAAAATCTTATTTTGCATCCTAAGCCAGTCACCTTTCAGGATGTAGGAGGCAGAGGGAAGTGGGTAGCTCATTTTCTCATGAGTACTCTAGAATCGTGGTTGGTCCTTTCTTTGATCAGAGTTTTAAAGTCAAAGTTGTTTGTCATAGAAGCACTCTTTGTGATAGCAAAGAACTAGAAATCAAGCCCATTGGTTGGAAAACGAGTGAAAAAAATTATGTTTCAGGAATATAATTGAATATTATTGTGAAGAAAGAAATAATGACTCTAGAAATATTAGATTTGTTTGACATACAGTAAAATAATCACAGGCAAGAGAATATATATACAATGACTGTGTAAATGGAAAGATCATGGGGCAGCTAGGTGGCACAGTGGACAGAGAACTGGCCGTGGATTCAGGAAGACCTGAGTTCAAATCCAGCCTCAGACATATAACACTTACTAGCTGTGTGACCCTGGGCAAGTCACTTAACCCCATTGCCTAGCCAAAAAAAAAGAAAAGGAAAGATCATTACAAGGCCATTTGGTGGCACAGTAGTTGAATCATTAGGCCTGGAGTTAAGAAGACCTAAGTTCAATTCTCACCTCAGACATGTAATAGTTCTTTGATCCTGGGCAAATCACTCAGCCTCTATCAGCTTCAGTTTCCTTACCTGTAAAATAATGGTAATTATAGCACCTAACTCTCAGTTTTATTGTGAAGATGAAATGAGGTAATACTTGTAAAGCGCTAAGCACAATTCTTGGCAAATAGCACGTGCTTCATAAATTCTTATTCTCTTCCCCCTTCCCTCCCCTAATAGGAAGTCTTAGCAAATCGAAAACTGGCTAGCAATCTGGGGAAAAGACAATGAAAAATTCCATTCCTGTTGTGGCAAATATGAAGGGAGCTACTAAGAAAGAATATCATATATATTATCAGATGGCTAGATACAGTTACTGTATTAAATGTTTTTGCTCAATTTTTTTCTAACCCTTAGGGAGCATTAAATTCAGAGAAGGAGGGAGGTTGCTATATATTGACATCACTGTAAATGTTAAAAGGATTGATTATATATTTATATGATTACATAATAAACATTAATATTATAAGAGATATATTTTATTAAATATATTATTTTACCAAATAGATTGATATGTTGAATATTATATTTTTAATATATTTACATAATACAATAAAATGGTTCTTACTCAAGTGAAGAGAAATAGGATTCAATTTTTTTGTCAACGATCTTTTTTAGATACTCTGCTCAGCAGTTCCCTCCCCCTTCCCACTAAGAATGCTCTGACTCCCACCCACACCTCCCTGAGGATCCCCTGCACAGTGTCATTGCGCAGGGTGTAGATGAAGGGGTTAAGAAAAGATGCCACCACACTGCTCAACACTGAAGGTATTTTGTTGATCTCCAAGGTTTCTTTCTGGGAGGGAGTCACATAGATAAAGGCTGTGATCCCACCAGCAATCACTACAATGGTCAAGTGAGAAACACAGGTGTTAAAGGCCTTCTTCCTCCCACTGGCTGATGGGATGTGCAAGATGGTCATGATGACATAAACATAGGAGTATCCAGTGAGGATTAGGGAGCAGGGGATGACTAGGGAAGATAGCAGGAAATCCATCAGCTCTATAAATGTTCTGTCTGTACTGGCAAAGGCCAGTAGGGGTCCACTGCCCCAGAAATAGTGGTTAATGATATTGGATCCACAGAAGGGCAACCTAGAGATAAATGTGATGGGGCAGAGAACAGACAAGAAACCACCCACCCATGAGAAAAGAACCAGTCCAATGCACACAGGACTCATAATCGTGCTATACCTCAGTGGGTTACAGATGGCAGTGTACCAGTCATAGGACACGGATGTCAGGAGAAGAAACTCCACTGTCCCCAGGAAGAAGTAGAAAAAGCACCGGGTGATACACCCAGCAAAGGTGATAGTCTTATCCCCAATGGCCAAATTGGCCAGAACTCTTGGGGAAACGACAGAAGTGAAGAGGATGTCCAAGATGGAGAGATTGCAAAGGGAGAAGTACACGGGTGTGTAGAGGCGTGAGTAGGACACAACAATGCAGATGATGAGGGTGTTTCCTAGGAGTGTAGTCAGGTAGGTGGGCAGAAGGAGCACAAAGAGCAGCAGCTCCACCTCTCTGCTGATGGGAAAACCAAGCAGAATGAACTGAGTCACTGTGGTGGTCTGATTCACTTGTGGTGTGGTCATCTTGGGTTTCTGTGGGAACAATGGGAGAAAATTCTATGGGATGGAAATGAATGGATGAAGCTTCTGTCTAGACAACCATGGAAAGAAAGAAAACTTATATGAAGAAAATGTTATACTGGAAATAAAAAATCTAGAACATACCAGAGCTAAAAACTAGCTTTTCAGTGACAGAGTTAGGATATGGCTATGATGTGTAGCCGGCCAGAAGAAATCAGGTTGAAAACAGAGACTACACATATTTTCCACCAACTCTTAGGAAATATTATCATGGTCCTTTATATAATAACTACCACAAGCTCCACTTTGTAATCAGAATATTTTCCTCTTCCTTTAAAGGTAAATCCCTTAAACTTCTCCATCCTAGAGCTTATGAATAAAATGAAGAGAAAATGATTATCTGAAATTAAACTACCCAAATGAGTCCTCTCCTCCCTCTGAGATGACTTCATCATTAGCATTTACTGTTTTATCATGAGGGACACTGTGGCTTAATGATTCATGGTGCTAAATTCTCACCAGTAGCTCAGAGGATCTGTGCATAGGAGTATGTTTAAATTAAATGGCTTATTCTGCATCATTGGTTCCCTCATCTCCATCCTTGGGATCCAGTAGCATGAAAAATGAGTTTTTTGTTAGGAATTGAGAGTACAATATATTCTTGCATTTACAGCACATTGCTTATGGATAGTTTGCAGTGTGAGCAAGTAAATGTTGGCCTCCAAACACCTCCCTGGAGTCAGATGGTAACCTTAGTCTAGCTGAGACCAAAGTAATCCACATTAAATTGTTTTTAGATATGATATTGGGATGGGTGGTTATGGGCAAAGTGTGTGAAAAATGAGCATTTATTAAAAGAGGCAGTACAGGAAAATGAGAAAGGATTAAGGTAGAACAAAGATACCTCTATTGGATATTAGTCCTGGGTTGTAGGTGAGGAAAGAGTCTAGATCAGAAATGGTCTGTGAATAGAAAAATAGGGGAACTACTTGGATTTTGTGTTTGGATTTTGACTTTGAGGTGAACCTGTAGATAATACAAAAAAGAATCTTATTTGTTCTTCCACTAGTCCTCTGGTTGTCACTGGGGTTGTTGGTGGTGGTGATGGTAAAAATAAGAGCAAACAAGGAAATGGAACTAGATGAGACTACTAAAAACTCTATTTTCATGTTAACCTGTTTAAATAATGTAGTGAGTTGATATCTGTAATTACTTTCCTCTACATAGTTTGAACGCTGGAATTTCTACACACACGTTTGTTGTCTACCTAACTACTCTTCCTAAACTAGATGCCTCAAAGAACACTGCGGGAGACAATTACTGCAGAGTTATGTCGGGAAGTCATGGTGATGGGTACGTGGGCTGTGGAGGAGAAACCACAATGAATCTGAGTAGAACCAATGGAAATGGTTTTAGGGAGTCTCCACTTGGGGCTTTTTTGTCGAAGGGCTGAAGCATTTCTAACGCAAAAGCAGGCTAAAAATATAGAACTTTTTAGTCCTAAAGAAAAAAAAAAGGTCTGAGATAGAATAAAAACATAGTTTTAAAAATGTTGAAGGACAATGGGTAGGGTGAACATGGAATGTTCACTAAATCCTAGAATATTAGAATGTGGGAGCACCTCTTAATTTTTGAAGGAAATAATTGTTGGATAAAAAAAGTGAATTACAACTTTAAACTCAGGGAATTCACTACTCTTATAGGTCATATGAGTTAAAAAATTAATAGGATCAAGAATCTTTTTGGATACATTCCTGAATGATAATGAGCTTTTACCAATCCTACTTCTTTTTTGTTGTTGTTTTGTTTTGTTTTTGTGAGGCAATGGGGGTTAAGTGACTTGCCCAGGGTCACACAGCTAGTAAGTGTCAAGTGTCTGAGGACAGATTTGAGCTCAGGTCCTCCTGTCTCCAGGGCCAATGCTCTACCAATCCTACTTCTGGAAAATTAAAAAGATACAGATGAATTTATAAGCCATGAGACAAATGGGTAGTTGCCCTTTTGGGGCTGTTCTCCTTTGGAGTCATCTTCACATCTTCCTTATCCTGGGTACTGCCTAGAAGCTCTGCTTCTTGATTTTGTTTCTGTTAATTGGAATTTGCTGTCACCTCTAATTACTTCCATTAACACAATGGTTCTTAACTTTTTTGTGTGTGTCATGAGCCGCTTTGGTAGTTGGGTGAAGCCTATGAACCTCTTTTTAGAATAATGTTTTTAAATGAATAAAATAAGATGTATATCTTTACAAGGGAAACCGATTAATTGTATTGAATTATAATTACTAATTTTTTTTTTAGTTCATGGAAAGAGTTTAAGAAGCTCTGCCATTATCCTTCTTTAGGAAAAAAAAGTGATCTACATAAACACAGTATCTGTAAACACAAATCGACTTTTTCTAACTTAATTCTTGATTTTGGAGTCATTCCATGGAACTTATTTGTTTGGCTCTTGCTCTGAATTCTTCTCTTACGAATATGTGTTCACTTTAGCCACTCAGACAGGCCTTTTCTCTTTGATTCTTTGGCATCTCAAGAGTTTGATGCCTGCCACCTACAGAATCAGAACCACAGAACGTAAGAGTTGGAAGGACCTCAATGACTGTCCAGTTCAACATATCCTTGAAACAAGAATCCCTCCTATGACATACTTGACAAGTGACCATCCAGTCTACACTTGAACATCTCCAGTGAGGCAGAACCCAACACGCTCTTCCAACCCAGTGAGGTCTACACAAGTTTTTAGGTCTTGCCTCACCCTTAGTTAATGAGATGGTGATAATAGGTCTAGGTGCTGAGAAATGTCTGGAGTCTCAGGAATTCTTTGTAACTCATCTACCACTTAGACCCCTCCCTGCTGCCTGTTCCTGTGCAGACTCTGGTGTGGAATCAGCAGTAAGTCTGGGTTACAAGCTGCTGTATTGCTCTTTTTCCTAATCTGCTTTCATTTCCCCTCACCTTCCATAAGATCTAAAAACTATAGGTTTTGGGGTTCAAAGTTAATTTATTTCAAAACCCACATTCTACTCTCAAGCTCCCTTGCTCTTCACAACCAAGCAACACAATCTTTGCAATTCCTCCCTGGCCACAGAGCAAGAATATAGAGGAGAAGAACAGTGGTTTTGGAGGCAGAGGACCTAGGTCACAATTTTGGTTCTATCGTTAGCTCTATATGTGTGCTTGGGCAACCCATTTAACTATTGAGGGCTTCAGTCTGGCACAGTGGATGAGAGTGCTGGGTTTGGAATCAGGAAGACATAAGTTTAAATCTCACCTCAGACACTTAGCAGTTGTGTGGCCATGGGCAAGTCACTAACCTCTCTCAGCCTCAGTTTCCTCCTCTGTAAAATGGGGATAATAAGAGGATGTTCTTCACAGCATTGCTGTGAGGATCAAATGAGATAATATATATCCAGTGCTTTGTAAACCTTAAAGTGCTCTACAAATGTCAGCTATTATTATTTTTGTTGTTGAGTAGTAGTAATAAAATCAGGGAGTTAGACTAGCTGATCTCTCAGATTTCTTTTAAATACCAAAACCTATGATCTCATGATTATAGAGAAAGATAGGGAGCTACCAAACAGAATCCAAATTGTGGATTCCTCCCCCTTTTCCCTCTCCTCCAGCTCCTGTTTCCCACCCATAGAACACCATGTCAGACACTGACAGACCATGCAAACTTAGCACCACGTATATTACTGAAGTGCAGTAAGACCTTGTGAAAGGGACTTCACCATTCACCATGATTCTTATCATACCGAACATCAAATGGAATCTTCATTGATATACATTGTACAAAATAAAAAGCCAGATTTTCTTATAGTGGTTTTTGGCCTGTCCTGAAAATAGTGCCTCTACCTAGTTCTGTTGTAAATTATAAATAAATTAATCTTACCCTAGACATCGTGTCCTGTTTGGTGACGAGAGAGAAGGCCATTCTTTTCAGTGGGATACTACAAGGCTCTCTCCTTGCCCTCCTAGGACAGAGAAGTGAAAACCTTTGTTCCACCTGTTCCTTCCATTCTCCAGTAGAGTCAACAAGTTGGATGAAACTGCAAATACTCACAACATTCTACCTGAGTCTGGCTAAGCCACTGTCCAGGAGCCCCTCACCCATAGAACCTCTGGCCAGGGGCAATGTTGCTCTCTTTGAGCTCTGAGATCTCAGGATTCCAAGACCTCTTCCTCCTGCAGAAGCCTGCTGTACTGAGACCCCTGATGTTAAGGTTTTCAAGGTCTTGGGCCTATGCACATCTGCCCAGATGGCATAGTGGAGAGCAGGCCCCAGAAGGGCTCTTGGGTTTGGTTGTAGAACCTGACAGAATCATTTTTGACAGAGACCAGTGTGCTATGGAGTAGAGGATTTCTATTCAGGAAAGTTAGCTCCAGGACCCAATCATAGGAGATGCTTCAAGGGAAACAATTTACTTGTCTTTGAGCACAAAACCTCAGTTCAGTGCTCTTGAGGATTAAATACTTTGGAGACTGGGCCAACTCAAACATGTCTATACTAGAAGGAGTTGGGACCAAAATACCACCTATGATGTGTAATACCTATTGCTGCTACCTAGTACTGTCCCTTCTTCCATTGTATTGTTTTTCTAATCTTTCCTGTTTTTTTCCATTCTCATGGCCACCACTTGACTCCTGGACCCAATCACCTTACATCTGCAGTAGAATAATAGCTTTCTAATTTGTCTCCCCTCTTCTAGGTTTTTTTTTTCAATTCACCCTAGATCATCAGACTAATCTTCCTAGAATTCTGCATGTTTTCTTCATTTTTTCTTGTATTATATCATGACTTTATTTTAAAAACTTTCCATGTCTAACAAATATTTATTAAGCGCCTATTATGTGCCAAGCAATGGGGCATGCAAAAACAAAAATAAAATAATTCCTACTTTTTAGAAGTTAAAACGTTCATGTTGCTTGGCCTTCCATTCAAGATCCTTTATGACCTTCCCTTTCAACCTCGTTTCTTACAACCAGCAGGATTTAGTACTAAAAAATATCTTAGGAATAATTTAGTTGGAGTCCTTCCTTTTATACATGAGAAAAGTTAAGTCCAAGAGAGGTTAATATAGGAGTGGGGAATCTGCAGCCCAGTGGCCACATGTGGCCCCCTAGGTACTCAGGTGCAGCCCTTTGACTGAATCCAAACTTCACAGAACAAATCCCCTTAATAAAAGGATTTGCTCTATAAAACTTGGACTCAGTCAAAAGGCTGCATCCAAGGACTTAGACAGCCACATGTGGCTGAGGCCGCAGGTTTCCCACCCCTGGAAAAAATTTGACCAACGTCATTCATGTAATAAATATTAGAGCCAGGATTGAGAGTACAGGTACTTTGGTTTCTGGATGGGAAGTTCTCCAGCTCTACTAACTCTTTGTGGTCTGTGTGAGTTATTTCTGGCATCACGTATAATTGGAAAGGGGTTGAAAGGAGCATTCTCACTTTAAGACAAATAAGACTTTAGGATGCAAAATATTTCCTTGCAGCTAAGATAAAAGGAACTCAAAACAGAGACTTAAATGCCTATGGGCCTTACTAAATGGGTGTAGCTGACTTGGGTCTGTGTCTCAAAAGAGCTGAAATAGCTGGGAAAACATAAGTGGAGGGAACACAGCTCATGGGGCAGGTATGTGGACATGGAATGTTCATGGAGGGTCCATCAACGTGGAGGGGACTCACATACCTAAGGGAATTGACAAACCTAAGAAAAGCTATGGCCAAGGCAATTTGTATCTCTGATTCTGCCAAGCTACCAGTGTCCTCTGGTGATGTCATCGTGCTGTTTATCACTGCTGAGCTACTCTCCGTTGGCATCTCTGCTGACCTGCTGAAGCTCTCTGTGGAGTTTCTCTGCTGAGCAACTGGCTTCTATTGTCATCTTCTTGTCTTCAGCCGTGATTTAGCTTCTTTGCTAAGGGTTTGTTGGGACTGCTCTCTGCTCCTATCCATTGGTCTTCAGCCATAATTCAGCCTCTTCTTTGAGCTGTAGTTACTAATGTCTCAGTTCTCAAAAGCTTATCACCTCAAAATATTTTAGTTTTGCTGCAATTTAGACGCCAACAAATTGGACCCAGCTGGCTGGATAGAAATCTCTGGGGCATTTCAGTTTGTCTTTTTTACTCCATTTCTTATGCAGTACTTGGAAGGGTTGAGGGAATGACACACTAAATTCTTATTTGACTTAGAATGAGAAAATTATTTTCTACTCCCATATTACCAGCTTGATCCCATGCAAATCAGAGGTGAATCCGGCAGAGCAGGTGAATCTGGAGACATTTGCCATACTTCTACTTCCACTGCCCCTTTAGCAGCCAAAATTTCTGTCCTCCCTATATAAATGTGACTGTGACCCCAACCCGTATTCTTTTCACTATACCATGCTGTTTCACAATTGTCCTTTAGTGGTGGCATTTGAGCTAGACCTTAAAGGATAAGTAAGATTTAAAAGATAGGGGGTTAGGGTGAGGGGGGAGAATGGAGGAAATTGGGGTGGTATTTCAGCCATAAAGAACATACAAAGAGCTATGGGAGCATAGAGGAAAGGAAGAGTGGAATCAGGAGTATATCATGAAAGCCCATGAAATCCAGGTTCTGGAGTTTGGAGTTTATTCTACCAACAACAGAAAGCCACCAGATATTTTTGGAGTAGAGACTATAATCAAAGTCACATGTGAAAGGCAGCTGATGGCACAGTGATTTGGAGTCAGGAAGAACTGGCTTTGAACCCTGTCTCTGACCCACATATGCGATGTGAACACAGGCAGCCCATTTAACTTCTCTGAGGTTGAGTTTCCTCATCTTTGAGCCTATGTTCTGTAAAATGAGGGTAATAATATCTTCAATATCTATTTCACTGGGTTGTTGTGAAATTCGGATAAGACAATATATGTTAAGTGCTTTGCAGATCTTAAAAAATTATCATCATTAGTCAAAAAGGAGTGGTACAATTGAAATACAATTGATTGAGCCAGGGAAGACTGAAATAGTAGTTTTCAGGGTGTGGGAGGCCTATGTCTCTTTCCTTTCATACCTTTATTTTCTAATAATCATAACTAATGCTAGGCCCAGGGAGCTGGGGTCCCTGTCACTCTTCTTTGTCCTTTAAGCCCCCCATTTATCTCTGGACCCAGCTATGTGGTTCTGACCAGATTCATGCTGGCAATTAATGAGAGAAGTTCAGCTCCCTTTTCTTATACTCTTCATCTCATTAAACTTGTAAGTTAGGTTTAAAATGAGGAATAAAAAAGGTACTCAATGTACAGTATGAATCAGATATAGGACAGGTAATTATTTCCGAAACACAAATGAAATGCTAAAAGACAAAAAAAAAATTTATGGCATTGTGGGAAAACTTTATAGCATTGTTTGAACCTAGCCCTGTGTGGCTAAAAGACCAGACTTGTTGCTTAAAGAATAGATTTGTTTAATATTTAACTCAGGTTATGCTGACCCCCCAAAAAACTTTCCAGGGGAGCTAAAGATTGAAGCAAGGAATTTAGGGAGTTTCCTCCTACCATATATCTCAAGTAATCTATGAGTCTTATCTAGAAACTGCCTCTGTTCTGACCAATCAGCTGTTGTTTCCTTGTTCCTTTGTTTGGTCTCTATATAATATAAAACTTACAGAGACTCTGGAGGAGTGGCCACCCCTTTTTTGGCTCTTCTCCCTGGCAGATGACTTAATAGATTTCTTTCTAAGACTCTTTTCAGTGCTGGGTTTGTTCTTGACTGACCAGTTAGTTTTTGACAAGACTTAGGCAATCAGTGACATAACTACCATTACAATCTTCTAGGAAGCTGTTATAAACACTGGAAAATGAAGCCTTTTGCACAACTACCAAATAGGCATTCCATAGTCCATCTTAATTCTGTGCTGTCCCACTCACAGCAGATGTCTTCTGAGAAACTGGGGCAGGTTTTCGGTTCTCTCTACTGATGGGAATGACCTTTTCCAAGAAGTGCCAGAATATCTGTAGTAGATTCCTCCTGGGCTGCTAGTCAGCTCCAGCCAAAGTACCTAGGGTCTCTGAGTCTCTCAAACTCACAGTGTGGCATCTAAGTCTGGACATGTCCATTTTGGGGTTGATGGTCATTCATTTAAGATTGGGCGATGAACACAGAAGAGGCACAGAAAGACAGAATCAGGCTCCTCTAGGTAGAACACGGCCTTTAGCTGCCATGTGTTCATGGTTCAGTGGCAGCCAGGATAAAGGAGAGGGTAAACTCTACTTCTTTAAACCCTCCCAGGAAACACCTTGACATTTCTTTCTTGTTATCGTTGTTGTTCATCCTTTGTTTTCAAAGAGGAGCAATAACATCACGGGTTGATATTTTGATTTGCTCAAGAACGACGAGGGTCACATAGCCAGGATGTATCAGAAGTGGGACTTGAGCTCAGGTCTTTCTGATTCAGAAACCAGCTCTCTAACCATTATTCCATATAGCCTCTTAAAGGTCTTTTAGTAATGGAATCTTAGGTATGGCTGTAGTACCTGGTACCATTGCAAATTTAACCACAATGGATCAGTGCTAACCTGATCTTACTCAGCAAAAATGGACCTGGAAGTCCCTCACTCACACTAGGCAGGAGGGGTGCTGGGGAAGTGCAAAGCTCTCTGTAGTTCTTAGAGAATCCACAACCTCTTATTTCTTGGCTTTATCTCTCAGTGACTGCCTTGTCTTAATAGTCCAAATAGTGTGTTTGGTATGGATTAATATAATCAATATAGTTCTGTGATACCCCTGCTGGCAAAATCCCTACCTCTTCCCTGAATTTGTTCTATTTAATTGAGGCTTAGTCATGTGACCTTGCCGTAATACACTTGGCTCGCCACTGGAATAGACAGGCTTACTTGGATATGGTAGACAGTATTTTTCCTTTTTTTTTTTTTTATGGAAACAGTAGAGGGACAAACAGTACATAATGAAACCTTTTCTTCACTGTTGAACACACATCAGTTTCTCCTGGATCCATGGTACCCCCAACCAGTAAGTTGCTCTGAACCCAGAAGCTGTAGGGAAGATACAATTTAGCTTGTTTAGTCCCCCAACAATCAATACATCTTTGAGTAAGCAAAGGAGTATGTGAAATATTAATGGAACTGTTTGTTAGCATATTATAACATTTTTGGTTGAGGATGTCAAAGCGTTCATTGCTATCAGGCAGTAACCAGGGACATTATTACTAGATCAAGGACTAAGCAAATCTAGTTCTGAATCTTACCTCCTTGAGGTACGGCATATGGACTTGGGAAAAGACAACAACTCTGGTGACCAGTGCTTGTTTTTTCAATATCCTGTCA